CCCCCTATTTTTTTTCTGGCCTATGTGTTGTAACTATAAAGATTAAATTTTTATTTATTGCTTGGTACTTTGGATGATTGATTTATGTCAATTTGATGTTGATTTTGTCAGGGTTAGTGAGTTTCCTTCAATTGTCGATTTTCTTTTTGTGAAACTTGCCTAAGACAGGGGCTGCAATTCTGAAATACCTTAATTATGATGATTTAGTTAATGTAAATGCTTTCCTTGTTGTGCATGTTTTCACATCTGACTGTTTGAATGTTTAGGATAAACTACTTTAAGGAGTGTTAGGGAAAGATGACCTCCATATGCTTTGGGGGTAGTTTGGTTCGCAAACTAGTTACATAGTGATGATAAATGTGGATTGCTATCATGCTATGCCTTAAATTGTTAATTATAATACAAATATAGTTATGCAGGCTGCGACACCAAAAGGATTAGTTTTATTAATTAGTAAACATGTACATGATTTACTTTAACTAATTTAAATAAAAATTGTTAAGAACTTTTTCTATATAGAATATTGTCATGTTTTATTTTTAGAATGCCCTTGTAGTCTTCACCCAGGTGCACAAATACCCTCCGTTAAATATTGAGCCCATATGTGTCCCTACCGTTACCCAAACTGTGGTATTATTGCCCCTCTTGGCTAATGGATGTATCTTTAGCCTCCTGCCAATAATTGAGACTTATTAATGGTGGCAGGAGGCTAAAGATACGTCTGTTAGCCTAGAGGGGCAATAATACCACAGTTTAGGTAAAAGGTAGGGACACATATGGGCTCAATATTTAACGGAGGGTATTTGTGCACCCGGGCAAAGACTACATGGGCATTTTAGGCCCTTTTCCGTAGATACTTTTAAGATTATTTTTTTGTTATTTTAGCTGCTCTTCTTCAGGTATTGCGGACAAATTTATTCTTATTCTTTCACATTCTATCTCACAACATAGATTTTCCCATAATTTATGTCAGACTGTGAGTAGTACTTATACTACAAACGAAAACGAAAATGGTAACCAAACGTTGCCTTAGAGATGTAGATTTCTATGTTGGGAACTAAACGTTGTATTGACAATGCAGAGTTTTATGCCAGACATATATTTTATGTGGTAAACCAATACGGGGTCCTTTATTTACTGCCTTACTGGTTAGAGTTATGCAGGTATTAATAAGTCTTGAGTGTTCTTACTTAGGTTGCTTTACTTCTTCTTCTCTGGTGGTAAAAATGTGGTGGAGCTCGAGCGTGTGTACATTGTTTGAACTGATAAAGAAGAGCATAATCTTTTTTCCTATTTATGGATGGATGTACCTTCTTACTTAAGAGCTTGACTCTGTGGCCTTCAGCTTTTGGATGAAATGTGGACTCTTTTCTCTTTTCTATCTTGCTATGAATAATTATGGATTTCATTTGTTTCCAAAGGCACCTTTAGAAGTTGGGCTCTTGCTGACTTTATTACTGATCGATGCTTTCAGATAAAAGTGATGGATGTTGTTCCACACACCTCATTGATGGGGATGGGGTCTTCAATGTTGCTGGAGTTGAAAATTTCATAAAGGAAGTTAAACTGGCAGAATGTGGTCTTTCATATGCTATAGTATCCATTATGGGTCCACAAAGTAGTGGTAATAATTCTTTCTAGATAAACTCAATTGCTATCATCCATTTTCCAGTTTGTAATGTACTAACGTAAATTTATCTTGTTGTTCCGTATGCTTAAATGACTCAACTATCATTCCCCTCCCTATATCAGGATTCCCTTACTGCTTCATTTGAGCTCTACCTATCGTCATGCTAGCACTTCTAACACAGTTTAACTGAGATTATGCCAGGGAAAAGTACACTGTTAAATCATCTATTTGGTACTAACTTTAGAGAGATGGATGCTTATAAAGGAAGGTATGGTTTAGTGATTTAGCTTATCATAATAATTCTGTGTATCCTATTGAAAGCATGCATTCTTGATGTTCTTTTCAGGTCACAAACCACAAAAGGTATCTGGATGGCTCGATGTGTTGGGATTGAGCCGTGCACCCTTGTTATGGATTTAGAGGGCACCGATGGGAGAGAGCGTGGAGAGGTTCGTTGAAATGACTTTCACAATGATGATTTACTTTCCTGTACTCCTTTTCGCCCATTGCTTGGTTTCAATGCCTTCGACTGTTTATACATAAAGCACCATATGTGTTTTTCCCGAAGTATTGTACCTTTCTGTGTGGCTGGATATGTAACAGCATCCTAATATGGACACTGTCCTTTTTCTTTCTTGTTTTATGCTTTTTAAAATTTAATATATCCTAATAGTTTTCCTTATAAAGTGACCTATTCCAATTTAGTATCCACAATCTTCAGCTTCCTTAATTTTTGCCGCAATGCTTCGCTGAGATAACTTTGGAACAACTTTCAGTGATTTGCTTGTCTATGAGATCTTTTACATTCCACTTTCCCTGATCTTTGTAATTGTCAAATTTCACTAATTGATTTGTATCACCGAGTTTCCTGCTACCAATGTTCATTGAATGCTCCCTGCCTCATTCAATTTTGATGTTTTGTTTAGGATGACACTACATTTGAGAAGCAAAGTGCCCTATTTGCCCTTGCTGTTTCTGATATAGTGCTAATCAATATGTAAGTTCCCTTTTAGTGTGTGAATTACATGTACTTAAGCTAAATTGATACCTTAAAACGTATCCAAAGGGACAAGTTATTAATAAAATTTAAAGTACAGGTGGTGTCATGATATTGGCCGTGAGCAAGCTGCTAATAAGCCTCTTCTGAAGACTGTCTTTCAGGTATAATACAAAGTGTTATCTTGTCTGAATATTCGGTATCACTTTTAAACTGCTTAATCTTAACAGGTTATGATGCGGTTATTTAGCCCTCGTAAAACGACATTGATGTTTGTTATACGCGATAAAACAAGGGTAGGTTCCTTCTTCTCTCATATATGGTTTCCCAGTTGAAGATATTCCCACATTTGATTATACCTGCAGATCTTGTCGAAAATATTGCCTAACTTTTTGAATTTCCTATAATATTTGTTAGACTCCGCTTGAAAATTTGGAGCCTGTTTTAAGGGAAGACATTCAGAAGGTAACATATGCATGTTTCTTCATTTTATACATATTATTATAGACTCAATTATTGGTTCTTAGTTGCTTCCCTTTGACTGTAGATATGGGATTCCGTCCCAAAGCCGCAAGCTCATGCGGAAACACCTTTAGGTGAATTTTTTAATGTAAGTCTCTTAAGTTAAGATCTCTGTAGCCTTCTTATTAGCTGGTTTTCTCTAATGCATATACATGTAATGATATTGAATAATATGTGTCCAGGTTGAGGTTGTTGCACTTTCTAGTTATGAAGAGAAGGAAGAGCAATTTAAAGAGCAGGTAGAGACAAATCAATTACTGGAATCTCCTTGATTGTTTTATCTTCCCTCTCTCTCTCTCTCTCTCTCTCTCTCTCTCTCTCTCTCTCTCTCTTTTATTATTTTAAATCTGTTTACTTTGACATATAGTGTTTTCCGACATACTCAAATAATTAACTCTTCTGTTTAGTGAGCTTTGGGTTTAGATTATGTTTATGCTTGTTATCCTTGTAAAGGTGGCTAGTCTAAGACAGCGATTCTTTCATTCTATTGCACCTGGGGGTCTTGCTGGAGATAGGCGGGGAGTTGTTCCTGCTTCTGGTTTTTCGTTTAGTGCACAGCATATGTGGGAGGTTATAAAGGAGAACAGGGACCTTGACCTCCCTGCCCATAAGGTTACGCCCCCGGAATCTGCTCAAGTGAAGTTTCAGTTGATCATTTATATCCTCATTGATGTGCTTGTTGTAATCCAAGTGCAGGTTATGGTAGCTACCGTACGCTGTGAAGAAATTGCCCATGAAAAATATGACTCTTTCACTGCAAATGAGGTATTTGCATTTTATTAAATATTTTTAGTATTACACATTTTTCGTTTTTATTGACCAATTTTGAACATCGGTATTTAATTATAGGTAATGATTTATCTTTTGTTATAGGAGTGGTGTCAATTAAAAGAGGCAGTGCAATCTCATCCTGTGGGTGGCTTCGGGAAGAAGCTTAGCACAATTTTGAACACTTGTTTATCAGAGTAAGAACACCTATCTCATACATTATAGTATGCATGCTTTATAGCTGTATGGATAAATCTTTTCATACATCTATACGATTTTGCTCAACTTTCTCCTTCTTTCTTATACACTCCAAAGTAGTTTCAGATGCCAAATGACGTTTGAGAGGAGTATCTTTATGTCTGTAGTGAAGCATATCTATATGCTGATGTTTTTTAAGTCTATTAAGCAAAGTTGGATTCTGCAGAATTCATCTTCACATAGGCATAATTCTATGCTCTTCTTCCTTGAAATACATGTTATGAACTTGTATGGATATTGTCAATAATAAGCCCATATTCACCAGGGCTATAACATTTTTTTCTTTTCAGATATGATGCAGAGGCTACATTCTTTGATGAAGGAGTGAGATCTACAAAACGAAAGCAGTTGGAAGAGAAATTGCTTCAGGTAAGTTAGCTAGACAATGCTCTCCCCTAAACTTGTTTCCCCGTGTACACCTATCATTGTATATGCACTGAATTCACCTTTCGACTTTTGATTATTTGACCAATAAAACTTGGTGGATTCCTTTCGATTGATGACAGCTACTAGGACTTCCTAGACCCAATGAATTCACTGCTAATTTAGTAGTTACTCTCTCCCCCTGAACTGCTGATGTCATTTCATTTTCCCTCCTCCTAGAAAATTTATACTACCTACATTGCGTTTATATGAAGGTGTTTGACTAGGCACATTAAAGATAATTATTTTGACTTATGTGTTATAGAAGTGGAAAACATAGCAAAACAATAGTAGAAAGTTTGTTTGATAGAGAAAACTTCACATCAAAGTTTTAAAAAACTCTTCCATGAGTTTCATCTGCACTCCTAACAATTTTTCTGTCATTTCTGCATTCAAATGTCACTGTGTTGATATGAATGTCTGAAATGGAGAGAATTTTTTTGTTATTAATATACTAAATTTAGAGACTAAGCTAAGAAATCCTGATGACAGACTTCGATAGTAAATGTACTTTCTACTGTTGTGTCTAAGTTGTGTAGTGGTGGTGGTTGTATATTGAGTTTGTCCCTTGGAACGATGTATCAACTAGCTGCAAACATCATGTCCCCTCTGAGCTGGGCGTGTTTTCTAACCAAGGAAAGATACTTTCTTTAACTAACCTTGTTATTCATTCTTTTTTCTGTTGTAGTTTGTCCAACCAGCCTACCAATCTATGCTGGGACGCATACGATCTGATACTTTGGAAAGATTCAAAGAAGCATTTGATAAGGAACTGAAGGGAGGTATAGGGTTTGCAATGGCCGCTCATGAGTGCACTGTGTCTTTTATGTCCCAGTTTGATGAGGAATGCGCAGGTACAGGATATAACCTTCCATTCTGTAGCTCCACTCGATTTAATCTATTCGCGAGACTGTCAGTACTGATCATGTTTACTAGGGGTGTGTACCATAAAAATACAGCTGCTGTTGCTATATGATAAACTTGCAAAACTGACAAATCTTTAGCGAGTAGTGTTCATAACAATTTTTCTTCTAAAGATCTTGCTGAACATTGTTGTTGGGCTAAAACGGCTCAAAGATACTCTTAACATGGTGTGATATTGTCCGCTTTAGGCCAAGGCTACACAGTTTTTTTTCCAAAAGGCCTCACACCATTAAGAGTATCCAACTCCTTATAAGTAGCTTATGTTTCTTTTCTACTTTCCATGTGGGACTTTGTTCCTACACTCCCAACAATTGCGTTAACAAAGTGGAGTAAGACAAAGCATTAGTGACTGATAAATTGTGCTGAGCGTGAAATGTTGAGCTTAGTCCCAGCAGATTGCTCTTTGAAACTTGAAGGCTGATACATTATTTTGCAGATGCTGTTATTGATCAAGCAAAATGGGACTCATCCAGAGTTAGGGATAAGCTCAAGCGTGATGTAGATGCTCATATTTCCGAAATTCGTACTGCCAAGCTGGCTGAAGTTACTACTCTTTACGAGGTACGGAGTTTAATGACCTATATATTTTGGTTCTTTTGTAGTAAGTATCAGAAATTATTGAAACTTGGTTTTATCATTGGCTAGTGTTAGATACTAGGATTTTGAGATCCAAGTAATCTGGCATTTGCTGGAATAAAAGTTCAATATGACGAAACATCGTCACCTGACAGCTGAACGGCTCTTACAACATTCATAATGTCAATAGATTTTTCCTTGTTATAATTGGATCTTTTGAGATTGATCGTGTCTTTAAATGTAGTCACACTGGCACTGAAATTTCTCGAGTTTTTGTCTAGACCAAATTAAATGATGCTTTAGCTGGACCTGTGGAGGGTCTTTTAGATGGAGCTGCTGATGATACATGGCCAGCAATAAGAAAACTGCTTCAGCGTGAGACTGACACAGCACTCTCTGGGTTTTCGGCTGCACTTTCTGGTTTTGAAATGGATGAACAAACAAGGGAAAATATGGTTTTGAGATTGAAGGATTATGCACGCGGAGTGGTTGAAGCAAAGGCGAAGGAAGAGGCTGGAAGGGTTTTGATTCGTATGAAGGACAGGTAGTATATTGGTTATCTTGTTCAGAAGTTCTGACATGGGAATATTTTCGATATATAATGCTACTGACCTAAAAATCGTTGACAGGTTTTCAATGTTATTTAGCTATGATTCTGATTCAATGCCACGAGTTTGGATTGGAAAGGAAAATATTCGAGCTATTACCAAAACTGCCAGATCAGCTGTATGACTGACTGAATTAATTTTTCTTTCTCGGCTGTCTGTTTAAAGTTCGAATATCACATAAATCTCTGTTCTTTTAATGTGCTCCTCAGTCTCTGAAGCTCCTGTCAGTTATGGCTGCAATTCGTTTGGAAGATGAACGTGATAGCATAGAGAATACACTCACTATTGCTCTTTCGGATGGAGGTGCTTCAACCAAAAAAGGCATTGCATCTCTTGATCCTCTGGCCTCTAGCACTTGGAATGAGGTAACTCGCTTAGTCGATAAGATGGTTTGTCTTAGATGTTAATTACAAGAAGAGAAGCACGGTCAAAGAAAAAGGAGAAGCATTCAAGTACTGGCCAAAGTGATTTCGTAGAGTTCATACAATGTGAATATTTATTGAACCATCAACAAAGTTATCACTTTTTATCGGTGCAGTACTATATACACCCTTCTATGTAACCTTGCCGCTTGGTCTAACGTTTGCATTTATTTACCTTTCTCATTTTGGTAATTAGACTTGCAAGATCAGAAAGTTGCATGCAAAAGTTCATCTCTTGAACTTACACTTCTATTGAGTAACCTTTTTTTTTTCTTTTTCCATATTTGACCTGTCATGAGCCGAGGGTCTATTGGAAACAGCCTCCCTACCTTCACAAGTTAGGGGTAAGGTCTGCATACACATTACCCTCCCCAGACCCCGCTTGTGGGATTACACTGGGTTTGTTGTTGTTGTTGTTGTATATTTGACCTATCATATCTATCATCTTTTCTGGTTAACTCTTTATTGCAGGTCTCTGCATCAAAAACTTTAATCACACCTATCCAATGCAAGTCGTTGTGGAAGCAATTTAACACTGAGACTGAATACATTGTTACACAAGCCATTGCTGCTCAGGCACGTTATCTTACATCTTGCACATAACTTTGTGCTTTTTAGGACTTCATTCCTTGTATATTTAATTTTTACCATCGCACAGACATATAGTAATATTTTATATATTATTAATTTTGCACCTTTTTAACTAAAGCTCACACGTTAATTGCACATTGCACTTAAAGTCCCAATCAACCTTGGTTCTTCTTTTATGATTTTCACCATTGACAACACTTTTCAGTACATTTGAATCAGACAAATATAAAAGTGTGACTCACGTTACACTGCTGCTTTATAATTTGATTCCAGCGATTCTCTGAGCCTGTCAATTGTATGTTAACATAGCAGTTTTTCTTACCATCTGCGGTGACATCTCTATTTGATATATTCATCAGGATAAAAATTCTCTTCACGGTTGTAATATTTGTAGACTCCTTTGTTAGCTTCTGACCATCCGTTTTTTTTTTAACTTCAGGAGGCTAGCAGGAGAAATAACAATTGGCTTCCACCTCCATGGGCAGTTGTCGCGTTGCTTATTCTGGGGTTCAATGAATTCATGACACTGTTGAGGTACCATTTCCTACTTATGGATCAAGATTGGGTTCGGATTGCGCGAGTCAAAACAGTTTTTAAAATTATGGCTGTGACCAACTCGTTTAAAATTTATTTGGGTAAACATGAGTCGAGCCAACTATATGTTCAATAGCAGGTCATAACCCAACCTTCTCCACTTATGACCACCTCTCAATTTCTTGTTAGAATTGGGTAAACGTTTCTCTATCCATTTTGTTTCATTCTCTTGGAGTAATTTTTATACTCTTAGTCATGATACCCCTTAGCCGAGGGTCTTTCGGAAACAACCTATTTATCTTCCACGGTAGGAATAAGGTCCGCGTACACACTACCCTTCCCAAACCTCACGTGTGGGATTTCACTGGGTTGTTGTTGTTGTTGTTAGTCATGATACCCCTTAGTTTGACGAATAGAGGCTTTTATATCCACTTGATGATAGGATGTATCCACTGTATTCACATATCTCACATTGGTTTTTTACTCTTTTCAGAAATCCTTTGTATTTGGGAGTCATATTTGTTGCCTTTCTACTAGTGAAAGCCCTCTGGGTGCAACTTGACATCTCGGGCGAATTCCGCAATGGCGCTGTAAGTGTTGAATATGATTTGTTAAAATTTCAGTTTTGTTGCATCAGAAGCATTTGACCAAATAACTGTATGAACTCTTGGTCTTTGCTCATTCATAAAATCTTCTTGTTAAACTTCCTCCATTGTCCTAAAGTATGACACTTCCTACCATTTTCTTTTGTAACGTTCTAGAATGTTATTGAGTCGAGGGTCTATCGGAAACAGCCTAGCCTCCCCCTCCAGGGTAGGGGTAAGGTCTGCGTACACACTATACTCCCCAGACCCCACCTGTGAGACTATACTGGGTTGTTGTTGTTATGGTTGTAAAAATTCATGCAAAGCTAAAATTGCCAACACAAATAAGTTGTAACCTTTCAATGACGTTTCGATTCATCATAATCTTGGGAATGTTTTATGTGGGCTTTCAGGAGTTATTTCCTAATATAGTCTGCTAAGATGAAACACATTTGTACCTTCCTTTCTATTCTGAAACATTTTTAGAGTTAACTGTCTAGACTTGGACGAGAACAAACCGATGGGACATAAATGTGATTGCTGCACTTCATTTCTTCCATTACAATGATGAGAACTTTCAAAATAACAATCTATCTGTTACCTGATCTTGATACATGTGTTTACAGCTTCCTGGACTTCTCTCTTTATCCACAAAGTTCCTTCCTACAGTCACGAATCTTCTTAGACGACTAGCCGAGGCAGGCCAAAGGAAGGCAAATAATGAACCTCAACATAATACTACAAGTGCTTCATCTGAAGAAAACAGAGGGGAATACTCTAGCCCCTCAATGCATGACAGAATGAAGTAAAACTGCCGCGGATCTAACAATGGGTTCGCTGGTTCGGCTGAACTCAATGATTTGGGGGGTCGAACTCTATATATATGTGCGGAAAAAAATATAGATAGAATACGATATACATTTTAGAACCCATTGTCTCAACTCAGAACTCACAACATCTAAATTCCGGATCCACCACTGGAAGTAAGTCATGTTTATTGAGCACTCTTCCATTCTTTGGCAGCAAGTTTATGTTTATAGGATGTTTTGTGGTGCACAATCAAACGGCTTTCACCTTCCAAGGGAAGCATGTGAACAATCAGAGAGAGTTGATTTTTGTGCAGGACATGTATACTGGGATGTGGTTTCTAAGTGGAAGAAGTTCCCAAGTAACTTAGTTGTGGGATAAACTACAGAGGGTCCTCCCTGCTTTTTTTTCCTTGTTACATGTCACCAATTTTGTCTTTCAAGAAACTAAGTTACTGACGCAAGATATATAATGTATTCAATGTGATGTGACTATCTTTTTGCTGGTTTGTAATTTATAGACTATTGTAACTTATATTTCATTATTGACTCTCTCTCTCTCAAAATAAATATAAAAATGGGTGACATTTTTGTAGAAATCTTGCTTACCTAATAACCTTTTGTGAATTCACTGTTCTCTTTTTGCCCCTCGTATTCTAGGTTGAAATTCAAAAATAGTCAGATTTATAAGTGGTAATTGAAAAATAGCCACAGTTTCAAAAGTAATCGAAATTTAGCCATTTTTCATGTAAAAATAAATCTCAACAAAAGCATTGTTCAAAATCCGGAAAATATTGCAGCATAATATACTGGAGTTCGAATTTTTTACATGTGAACTTCCAGCTGGAAGTTCATACACAGATGCTCCAATCTCCAGTATATTATACTGGAACTTTCCGTGTGCTGGAGTTCCCAGTATAATATGCTGGAATCATACACAGGTGCACCAATCTCCAGTATATTATGCTGGAACTTTCCGTGTTGCAGCAAAATAGTGGCTACTTTTCAATGACTTTACAAACACTGGCTATTTTTCAATTTCCAGTCCGAAAACTGGCTAGCCCGTTCTATTTTTACCGTATTCTAAGATCCAACCTCACTTGCATGATTTACATGTGATTATAATTGAGAAAATGACCCTCTAGCCCCTCAAAATTTTAATAGCCCATGTTTTTCCCCATTGACACGAAATGGCCCTCCGGCCCAAACATATTACATCTAATAGCCCGAAATGTCTATTTTGTATATTTTTTGTATAGTGAGAGTCTATTTTGTATATTTTTTGTATAGTGATAGTGTATTTTATATATTTTTTGTATAGTGACAGTCTATTTAGTATACTTTTTATATAGTGACAGTCTATTATATATAAATTGTACAGTAACGGTCTATTTTGTATAGTGATATCTATTTTATATATTTTTTATATATTGACAGTCTATTCAGTATATAAATTGTATAGTGACAGTTTATTTTGTATATTTTTTGTATATCTTCTAAGATGACCGCGGCAAAAGGCTCGCTCCCATAGGTTAAATCATCTTGACAATTGACACATATAGGTTAAATACACTACAATTCTCTTTCTTTTACAAAAAAAAAAAAAGGAAAAAATGAAATACTGTAATGCAACGCTTTAAAATGTTCAAGATCTCGCAAATTTGATAAAAAGCTTTCAACTTCTTCCTCGTTATCATCTAATCCAGTAAGATCAAGAAATAATAAATCAAATAAAAGCAATTCTTGAATGGAGGAATTTGTATCCCAATCAGAGTTGTAAAACAAGCTTTTAACTTGCTTTTTGATGGGCAAAATAAATATAATCGTCCATAGAATCAGGAAAAGGCTTAGGACAAAAGGACTAGAAAATTCACGCAAGAATACTTACTTTACGAGTCGGGGTACTTGCTATAAAGTGCATATTGTAATTTATGGCCAGCGGATGATATTAGTTTCTAGCGAATGGCTAGTAATGAAATTTAACTAAAGCTCAAAGAAAATTTAGGGTCATTTGTTATTAATTATCCAAAGAAAGATAGTACGTAACAATTTTGGGAGAGTTTAAATTGAGGTATATTAAAATGTGAGATAAATGATAATTAAATTTTTCGTCTCTTTTCTAAAACATAAAAAATTTATTTAAACATTTTCTTTTAACTTTGAAATTAATAGTTCAAACATTATTGAAAATATAAAGTGATAACAAGAGATGATTAACTAACAAGTGATAGTGCAATGAATATTCTTATCATTTATGTGCTTTTGTAATGATATTGCTCGTGAGTATTTTGTTATTTTATGTTAATTTTAGTATAAAAGAAATTATCGCACAATATAATATAGATGTGGGCATTGTTAATACGGAACTAAAAGTGTATTACAGGTTGAAAGGATCAAAGAAAAGACAAGGTTTTGTAAACATTATTTTGGACTTGATGAAAGAGCTATATATTCATATAAGTCCGAAAACGATTAGGCAATAATACTGCAGTACGAGCAAAAAGTCTAAAACTTATTTAGGATAGTTTGACCATAGATTTTGTCAAAATATATTTGGGTTTTTCAAATACATATTTGTTCATAAATTTTATCCATATTTTGGCAAATTCCCAAAACCCAAATCCCAAAACCAGCTCAAGAGTTAGTTTTGGCCCAAAATATTACTATTACATTTTTTATTGCCCCAAATTTTTGTATTTTATAAAAAAGCATGCCATTTATTATTTTGTAACAATGTTGCTTCGTCTTCTCGGTCATCTGATAGTGTATTATGTAGTTCATTATAAAAATGATAATTTTGTACCAAATTTATTTATGTTCAGGACTATGGTTTGCGATCATATAATGAATGTTATTGATGAAGGTACTGGTGGATATTTGTGATAGTTTTTAGAACTTGTGGGTATAAGACATGTTTCAAGTTTTTTCAAAATCAAAAAAGTGAAATATGTTTTGAAGAATTTTCAATCTTCAAACCAAACTTCACGGACACACATAATTTGAGTTAAGACTTGAATAGGAGCAAAAACAAATATTTTAATCGCTAGAAGGAGGGTTTGAACCTCCGACCTTGTGGTTAACAGCCACACGCTCTAACCAACTGAGCTATTCCAGCTTTTGATTTCATTAACCACATAAAAAATTATTTATCACATGACTGTCTCTAATTAACCCTTTTATTGGGGGTAACTAGATATATTATATGATATTAAACAGAGTTTAGTACATGCTTAGATTTACTGGGATTACATAGTTCCCCTACAATCGTTGACGCAGAAGAAATTACAATAACTAGGAGGATTATGTTATGTCTCTAGTTCACTTGAATTGCTGTATTAGTGATTTCCCGGCCTCCCTTTCTTATATTCCCTCTTTATTCATGTACTCACCTTTCTTGAGCCCAAAAAAGAAAGAAGCGTCTCAATGCATTTCTTTTCTTGCTTGTTTGCGTGTTAGCTTGAAATGAGAGTGGAGCTTGAAGAAGCGAAGCTAGCCTAGAATAGCAGCCTATTATGTTTTTTGCGCTCCTTTAAGCCACACTATTAAAGTTTGGAAGAGGGGTAGAAATGGGGGTGAGGACGAGTGTGTCTATTTCCGAGAACCAATTCGAATTCATGCCGGGACAATCTACCACGGAAGTCATTCATATTATGAGGAGATTTGCGGAATAGTATAGGGAGAGGAAGAGAGACTTACATATGATATTTATTGACTTAGAAAAAACATATAACAAGGTCCCATGAGAGGTTTTATGAAAATATTTTTAGGCTAAAGGTATATCTATAGCATACACTAGGGCGATCAAGGACATGTATGATGAAACTAAGATCCGGGTAAAGATATTGGGAGGAGACTCGGGAAACTTTTCAGTCATGATGAGGTTACACCAGGGATCAACTCTTAGACCATTTTTATTTGCCTTGACGATGAATGTATTAACATGCCGTATTCAAAAGAAGTTGTCATAGTGCATGTTATTTGCAGATGACATAGTACTGATTGACAAGACGCAAGACGGAGTTAACGCTAGGCTGGAGGTTTAGAGACAAACTCTGGAGTCTAAGGTTTTAAGTTTGAGTAGGACTAAAATAGAGTACTTGCAATGCAAGTTCAGTGATGTAATTCAGGAGGTTGACGTCGAAGTGTGACTGGATTCATAAGGCATCCCAAACAAGTAAATTTCAGGTACCTTGGATCAGTAATCTAAGTCAAGGATCTATCGGAAACAGCCTATCTACCTGCATAAGGTAGGGGTAAGGTTGCGTACTCTCTGAGCTCCCCAAACCTCACGTGTGGGATTACACTAAGTATATTATTGTTGTTGTAGATAAGATTGACTCTGTCACATCTTTTGACTTATTTCCTCTATTTCTTTCTAATCTTGTACCCTAGGTAGGATCAAACAATGTCATTTCTTGATGTGGTTAAATTTCCTAACAAAAAATGATAAATCAGACTTCTCAATTCCCTAATTTTTGGTTCAGAATAGAGCTTCATTAAAACGAAACTGCATTAGCATGCCCTAATAAGACCACCAAAAACATTAGAAGTCATGGGTAATCATTGGTCTAATGATTCGGGAGGAACAATTACGCAAGGTATGATGGATGGTGTGTACAAAGCCAGGATACATATCCACGGAAGCGAATATCACTCATTATTATTTGTGTTAGTAGTCCTACGGTGGGATGGAAATTTATCTCCTTACCATCTTATATTATCCATGCTTTAGATGTCTAGTAGTGAGCGTTCACGGGGAGGGAAGGGAGGGGGTGCGTTGAGTCTAATATCGGCTGAGAAGGAAAATTGTACTCCTTATATGGTCTTAACAGTCATAGCCTCTGGAGCTAGCTTTTGCAGTTGAGTTAAGTCAAGGTCCATTTTCTTATCAGTTCGCCATTTTCCATCTACGCTTGTGTTATGCAAGACGAATCTATATAGGGTAAAATCGGTTCATATTAATTGCTCGAATGACAGAGTGACACGTGGAACCGGGGGAGGGGGGAGGCAGACGGAAGATGAAGCAAGTGAAAACCAAGACCGAGGACAACGGCTTCGGTTGACACCAGGTACATCCCGAAGGGAACATTATCAATGGGAGAAAACGAATATTTATCGCCATATGACATTCAATGAAGGCTCTTTGTGATGTTGAAGTCGGAGAACTTACATTCCGAGTTGGTGATGAAAAAGTTGTTTTTCATGTGTGTAAGTCCATGAGGCAACCAAATAGCAATGAGGTGTGCTCTTTTATGGACTTGGTGGCCGATGTTATTGTTGATGACACAAGTGCTACAATCAATGTTGGTGATATGTTGGAGTCCGTCTTGCTCAACTTTGATGATGACGAGATGGATGGCTTCATGGAATGTGTGAACTCTTTGCAAGGAATGGGGTCGTACAACTATTCACCCCGGAAATTATCTTTGGATCTTGAAAATAGGACAACTCCTCCTACAAAGCCTTCTATTGAAGAGCCTCCTACCTTGGAGTTGAAGCCATTGCCTCTACATCTTCGGTATGAATTTCTTGGCC